TTCCTGCTGGATTAAGCAATAGACTTCAACTAAATGAAGTGTGTATAACCTTAGTAAATACTGAAGAACTAACTACAAGTAAACATTTTCTCTAAAGGTTTTAATGTAAAGAAACTGAAATAGTTTACTGAATTTAAACCATCTGCAAATAGATGTTTTAACTTTTCTATTCAAATGACAAACAGTGCATAAATGCCAGGCAGTCATTTAAAAATTACTTTAACTAAGAGCTGAATTTGCTTTTTAAAAAAAACCTGTGTGCAATGTCTGCAAAATAATTAGCTTGTAGATCATATCCATAAATATAAAATAAGTATTTAGAATGCTTTATTCAAACTTTGTAAAGACTTGCTTGTAAAGTACTTGTCTTTGTTAACAATGGTAATTTGAAGCTTGAACACTGAAAGTATGCAAGTGTTGCACCTGTTTTTCAGTGAGAAAGAGCTGCTGTTTCTCCTTTACAATTTTTTTAGGAATAGTAGTATGCTATCCAAATTTAACAGTTTTTAGCACTTTTTTATATATTGTTCCCAAAGGCTCTTCAATATTAATGGCTTGTAATACATGATTGATATCATATACAATTGAACTAAGAGCTGAAATTAAGTAACCAAGACTTTTGTGGCTACAGAAGTTCAAAGTGTCATAAAAAATCATTGAACAAATAACATTTTTACATTTACAAATGAAACTTTATATGAGTATTTATTGATTTTTTTTTAAAAATTCAAAAATACATTGTAACACAACAGAATGTTTATGTTCTTCAATGAAAGACAAAACTACGGTTATCATCTGGACCGGAATACAAATACATGCTAACAATTTAAAAATCATTTCAGGTCATTCAGGAAACATGAAACAAGCTATCTGTTTGTAAGTGTACTGTTTTTTCTACTTGGTAAATATGCCTGAGAAAGTTAACCTGTAAAGAAATAGGCTTTTAAACTCTTAAACACAAAGAGCTTTCTACATTGAAATGGTGAAGAGACCTGTGATATGCACCTGACAGGCCACTAAGCCATTTCCCACAGAGATTCTGTTCACTGCTCCACCTCAACTCTGTGATCCAGCAGCGATGCACAGTTTCACATCAATACCAAACTCATTCAACCAAAGTTAAAAAAAAAAAAAAAAAAAATCAAACAAGCTAATTGATGTAAAATCAACACTTTATATACAGAGGGTATGTAAAAATCATATAGATTTTCAACCAAATTAGTGTATTGTTGTGTAGAATCGTGGACAAGTAAAAAGTAGTAATTTAGTTAATGGATAAAGCAGGAAATATATTTTTGGCTTGAGGTAAAACCCTTTAAAAACTACAATTTCTACATAATCAGCTAGAATCAGAGAATGAAAAACCAGGACAAACACAAGTAATCATTTTACAGTAACCACATACTATCGTCGAATAGGAACCAAAAACCAGTAACAGAAATTGTGCGTCAGCTCTATGAAAATAAAATGTTACTAGTAGACAGAAGCAACCTGACAAGATGTGAAAAGAAGCAATGAAAACTTTGGGGATTAAATTTCTTTTCATCAGGATTTGTCTGTTCCTACTGTATGCAGATGACAGACTTAGAGAAATACAAACTATTTAACTCTTATTAGCAGCTTAACTCTACTGTGGTGGATTTTAGAGTTTTGTTTTTTCTTGCATTGAGAGATAAAAAACGAATGGACCAAAAGTAGCATATTTCAAAACTAAGAACCGATAAGAATTTGAGCACACATTTACGTCAGCAAGCATACCTGGTGTAAACTGACATAGCCCCAGTGCAGTTAAAGGAGCTATGCTGATTTGTGCCAACAGAATAATTGACATTTAAATCACTTTAAGCAACTGCATATTTAGTAAATTACATAGGCTTTGGTGAAGAAAATAATCATGGGGCATGCAAACGTTTTACTAAAAACTTCTTGTTTTCATAATTTAGTTAGGTAAATAATACATGATCAAACTACATAAGCTGGAACATATGAAACCAAGTTATTGGATAAAATAAATTCATAAGTCTGAGTCATTGAAACAAAACAGTACAACGATAGAATTTTAGTAAACAGTCAGTCCTACTCTCCAATGTTGGAACATATTAAAAACCATCTATTATGCATGTATGTATGCAATTTTCTCATGGCAATTAGGAGGGAGCATTTACAGTACTGCACAAATGGCTAGGTGCATTATGGAGGCTCTTCACTGTTCTCTGAAATATAAAATACTGTATTGGCCACTGCTGAAAGTTATCAGAGATGATGGATTAATGAACTAACCTAGTATGGTAACTCCTGTAACATTTTTCTTTCACCAGTAGTGAATGTGGCATCGAGACCACTCTGCTCTGACACCAGGCCTGTTGTTATGACTTCTGATCAATAACTCCATTCTCCAGGCTACTAGTAGCATATGGAAAATGGAAGCAGAATATTAATTATAGGGAGTAAAGCAAACACCTGATCAGAAAAGGACAGAAAAAACATGCTACAACTTGAGCACACTTTAAAGTACCTTTGTTTGATCAGGTTTTAAAAGAGGAGCCAAAATCAGAGCAGTATGGAACACTCCTAATCCTTGAAAGGCAGGGACACACAAAGCAGTACCAGGACAGTGGAAAGAATCTTTTAAGTTTATAATTTTTAAGGAAGAGCAAATAAGGGAGAGGGAAGGGAGGAAGATGGGCTAAGATAAAGTGAATTCAGGGAAAGAAAAATGAAGAGAGAATGGGAATGTATATGGGCATATAGGGGTATCATCTGGACCCCAAAATTTTCTTGGACCCTGCTACTTTTACAAGATAAGTTACATGCATGCCCAAATTCTGAGGGCAAGAGCAAAATCTTAGATGGCAATGCTATGATTCTGGCTGAAGAGCTTCATTTTCCCCCTCCCATACCTGAAAGCCTTGAATCCTTGCCAAATACTCCAGCTGTTTTGAAGGCTGCACTGCAGGACAGGGGGAAGCAGGAGATATTCCTTTTAGACCTACGGCTTCGGCAGTCGGGGATGTTCCATTCATGAGAAGTTCCCTGGCAATTGTAGCTGTGCTATTAGTGGTAGGTATGCTGAAGAAAGAGCTAGAAGTCTGGCTCATTTCTTTGGATGGCAAATAGCTTACAGTGGTACCAGGGGCTGCTTTGTTGCGGCTTGCTTCCATCTCTTGATAAACATCAGGCGAGAGATGGAGAATTCCCTTTGGTGCTGAAAATAAAAGCAAAGACCATTCTCATTGCACTTGCAATGAATTAAATATAGATAAGTAGACCCTTGTGATTTAAATGCTTCCCACCTGAAAACAAACTGTAGCGTTACAGACAATGAGTCTTTTTCATTTGCAACAATGAGTCAGATTGCATAGTCTACCTGATAATAAAGAGGAAGGAACCAAATTGTGTTTTAAAAAGATAAAGGGCCACTCTGTAAAATGTTCTATTTAAAATCTGTCATGTACCAGCCCTATGGTCCATATGAATGATATATTCAAATATTATTACTAACAAGACAGTAGTAATTACAAAAGAAAGACAGCAATCTTTATTTTGTTATAATCCTTTTACTTCCCACATACCTGGACCACTGTCTGTCACCACTGATCAGCATTTCCTATACTAAGAAATCTTTAGACTGAACACTTCACTGCCAAAAACAGTCTTCCTGCACATATTGTGCAGTATATATTGTGAATAATAGTATATGCATACAAGACTAGCATACCTATGTGTATTATTTGCTCTATGTTTCATAGTTGGTAAGGTTGGAAGGGACCTGAGCAGATCATCAAGTCCGACCCCCTGCCACGGCAGGAAAGAGTACTGGGGTCAAACGACCCCAGCAAGGTGTTCATCTAGCCTCCTTTTAAAGACCCCCAGGGTAGGAGCCAGCACCACTTTGCTTGGAAGTTGGTTCCAGATCCTAGCCACCCTGACAATGAAGTAGTGCCTCCTGATGTCTAGTCTGAATCTACCCTCTGCCAGCTTGTGGCCGTTATTTCTAGTCACTCCTGGTAGTGCTCGGGGGAACAGGGACTCCCCCAGTGCCTGCTGGTCCCCTCTGACTAGTTTGTAAATGGTCACTAGATCCGCCCTCAGCTTTCTCTTGTGAAGGCTGAACAGGTTCAGGTCCCTTAGCCTCTCTTCGTAGGGCCTGTCCTGCTGCCCCCTGATCATGTGAGTGGCCCTCCTCTGGACCCTCTCCATGCTGTCCACATCCCTCCTGAAGTGCAGCGTCCGGAACTGGATGCAGTACTCCAACTGCGGCCTGACCAGTGCCGCGTAGAGGGGGAGGATCACCTCCTTGAACTTGCTTGAGATGCATCTATGGATGCATGACAAGGTGAGGTTGGCCTTCCTGACCGCGTCCCCACACTGTTGGCCCATGTTCATTTTGGCATCTCTAATGACTCCAAGATCCTTTTCTGCCTCTGCACTGATGAGAAGGGAGTTCCCCAGCGTGTAGGTCTGGTGCTGGTTCTTCCTCCCCAGGTGCAGTACCTTGCACTTGTCAGTGTTGAAACCCATCCTGTTCAACACTGTGAATGTGTATCACTATTAACATTAATAGGAATTATGTTAAGCATCAAAGAGATCCAAAAAATGTATTCATATAGAATCACAGAAAACACTCCTGTTTCTAGTGACACGTAATTTAAGGATAATTTCTCTATACTTCAGAATTTTAAATAATCTTTTTCTAATAACGGCCTGCTTCTGTACACGCACTTCTCAACACGAGTAGCTTCACACACTTGAGTAGTTACACTGAAATTCTCAAGTGTATAAAAGTGTGCAGGATCTTAAGTTATGAAGTTTTCATAAACAGTAAAGACATATCAGTAAAATGAGTACACATTATGTTGAGAGTTTAAAAGGTAAAAAGAATTTCTAAGTAACAATGAATTGAGGAATGAACTTGAAAACATTTTATTTAATAGTAACAGGTAGATATGATTCTTCTATTTGTGATAATGTAACAGCTTAAACATTTAGGACATTCAAAAATATGGGAGTCCATGTTAAAAAATGGCATACCAATTTGGCAAGTATAAGAAAAATAGTATAATTGTATGCTGACTTTTTATTTATAATACATATCAGTCATTTTAAGATTAGAGAAGTCTTAAAGCAGTGACACAAATGACATTTTTTGACGTTTTGTGCTAGAAGCAATCTCAGAAATAGCGGCTATAATTAAAATCCTTATCTACAAGTACATGATGACAATTGCTTCCCTATTGAACTTTAACTGCTGTCTCAGCAAACTGGCAAAATGTATCTTTTAATTACTTTGCTTCCATATTTGGCTTTTAACTTATTACTAGCCTCACTGTCCTGTTGATCACAGAAATGGAAGGTTTTGTAAGATATTTACCATATTTACCAGAATACAAGATGCCCTTAATGTAAGACAACACCTTAATAATTAGAATCTAATTATTGGAGGTTTGTCTTGAATTTATCCCTCTCTCACCACTACAGCAGGGAAAATAAATTGCAGGGGGAGGGGGGAGATTAGGTAGCCCCCTTGTCCTCTGCCCCACTAACTTTCTCCTATAGTCAGACCCTGGTCTCTTTGAGCATCTGGAAATGAAAGGCAAATTGGAAAGCACTGACTTTCAAATAAATATACCTGTAGTAGTGTGCATATAGGCATATTACTACAGGCACCCAAAGACTTAGTTCATCCAGAATTGATGCATTTGACCATTTTTTAAACTGCTGCAGGATTTAGCACAGATCATCTACAAACACACTTTTAAGCAGCACTTTTGTATCTACTTATATATAGTATAATGTACATTTTTCTCTTTTTTCAATTTTGCATCTCAGACCAAATTAGCCAAATCAGTTCCAAATTCTATCGATTGAGCACAGCTGTATGGCATTACCATGTGTGTGGTATTACCATCAGCAAGTATCTTCCCTCCCAGACTCTTCATCCTGGGGCTTCAGGTACTCCCAAATCCATAGCAGGTACAGGCCCCAAACCTGGAGGCCCTGGAGTTCAGATGCCCCTGCATTCACTTGCCCTTAGCCAAAAGGTCAAAGGAGCAAGCTAGGGAGAAATCCCTTATTCTCCATAAAAACAAAGTGTGTAGCCAAGATCCTCGCACTGGAGGTACTCTCAGTCTTACCCACAGTGCATTGGACACATCTCCACCCTTAACTACCCAATGCCATTCAAGACGATCTTGGCCCACAAGAGGCTGAGATCCTACGTGCAATCCGTATGAGCCAATAGAGACTACACTTGATCTGAGCCAAAAGACAGATATTAGTCCAAAGCCAAAAGGCTCATGATTGATCTTATTCTTCATTGGGCTGGGCCCCAGCAGAGTTAATAGTGTTTCAAGCTATGATGACCCCCACAACTCAGCACTGTTCAGTATGTGTTTGTATTCCAGGTACCTGCCCACAAAGGATCTATGTGCTAATTAGCCCTGCTACTCAAGACTAGAACCTGATATTCTAGTCATGAGTCCCAGGATCCTCCAAAAATGTATATGCAGATAAGCTGCAGGGTGGGGGGGCGCACCTGGTCTGGCTCCACTTCATGGAGTGTGGGGCCACACTAATCATGTAGAGACTGGTTTAAATTGTGGGCCCAGATCATGGTGCAGCAGCTCCTTTAAACTTGGAGTTCCCCCTATACGCCCTCCTGCCACTGACTGACGGACATGCCCCGCTGGCCCCACTGCTTGCTCCTGATGGCCAGGAGGCAAAAACCATGGGTTTAAATATGCCACAGTTTTTGCCTCCCAGACAGTTAGCAAGTAGTGGGAGGCAAAAACCACAGTATATTTAAAACTCTGTTTTTTGCCTCCAGGCCATCAGGAGCAAGCAGCTGGGCCTTTCTGCCAATCAACAGCAGTGGGAACTCCAAGATTAAAGGAGACACCATGGTGCAAGCTGGGTCCACAGTTTAAACCAAGACCTAATCATACATTACAGGCCAAAAGAAGGGGAGACAGAGCCTCTTACCTACGCAGCGGTTTGGTGATGTTTGCCAGACATTTAAGGCTAGTGAAGAAACAGGAACCATTGCAAATGGGAAAGAAAGGTGTTGCTCAGCTATGTAAGTGAAGAGGAAGTTGAAATGTATTTGATGTAGTGGCTTACTATGACTTTGACAAGAGTTGCAGCTGAGTGGGATTTAGTGCAATGGCCACCATCTTATTCAGATGCAGCACTAACCTATCCTTGAAGTAGGCTCCTGTTAGCATATTGAATGTAGCATTTTTGCACCAAAGAGGGGGTGTCAGGTCTGGCTCTCCTGGGATGGGCCTGGTATTGCAGTACCTCCAGACTTGGTGCCAGTTTGCTGCAGAGGGACCACCTGCCTATGTTTTCTTAAGGGCCACACACACACGCACGCGCACACGCACGCTCCCATCATCATATTAAATGTAGCAATTCTGGCATGAAGGGGAAAGTGTCAGGATTGTCTCTGGCCCTCCCTGTGCCAGCCTGGTATTGCAATACACCTCTAGGCCCAATGTCAGTTCCCTGCAGAGGAAACACCCACCCTGTTTTGAAGGGCCAAAAAAAATAAAAATAAAAGGGGTGGAGCGGGGTTCCCATCAGCATTTTTGGCACTAGGGGAGGGTGCTGGAGCTTGCTCCAGCCTCTCTGAGTGCCAACCTGGTACTGCAGTAGCTCTTGGTGCTCATTCCCACCAAGGGAAACATCTGCCATTTTGTTTTTTCTTTTTTAAGGGCCATACAAAAGAAAAAGTTCCCATCAGTATGTTTATCCAATATGGGCCTTGTATTTTACAGGCATGCTCAGTGTTGGCAACAATTAACCAACATCATGACTGGTTTCCTTTACTGAGCACAAGCTGTTTCTGGCAGCAGTTTAATGACAGATGAAGTATTTAATGAAGTTTTCTTGTATGCAATGGTAAAACGAGTGGCTTTTTTCCCCCATGTTGACCTGGGGGACACACACCTCATCTTATATATGAGTAAATACAGAAGTTTTACTATTAAAATATCAATAATTTAGTATGGCAGTTATTAATTTCACAATAGGACATAATGTAATGTGAAGTATAAGACCTGCAGTCCATTTTCACTCAAGTAGCCTTACTGACTTTGGCAGAACTACCTGCATGAGAAGGAGTAGAAGTTTTGGACCCTGAAGTTTGGCTTTTCCACCTTTGAGTCAAACTGCATGTGGGTACAGTGATGAATCAAACAATCC